AAAAAAAAAAGAAAAGAAAAAAACAGGCCCAAAGAAGAGAGAAAGAGTACCATTCTGTAACAAAAAGAAAAATCCGTCGTGAAAGTGACTGGTACTGGCAGAACTCCATGCTGGTGTCCAGATTTGAACAAAGAAGTCCCTGTCAAACCTTAATTTGTCAAACATAATGTAAGAAACTAGGTTTCTTTTTATTTATGCAAGTACTCACTGTGATACAAAGCATTTACAATCGCCCTGAATTGTAATTTTGAAAGCTGCGTGTTGATTTGTGGTCTTGCTTCTCAGTGCATTTCTGGTTTTCCATTTTTGCTGTAGGTTTTTCCTTTGTCTTTGGCAACTTTACCCCCTTTTGTATTGTCCTCCTCAATGCTCCACTGAACAATTAAGATAAAAAAGACCTGTCTGCAATGGTTTTCTTCTCCCAGGAAATCTTGATCCATCATCAGTGGTGTCAGAAGGTCCCGTTATCCCATTGGTTTGCAGTTTCAGGGGGGCAAGATAATCTCCTGGGGTGGCATGAGTTGTTCGCAAGCCTTTTTGAGCTAAAATCTTGTATTTGATTTTGGGACCAATACATCTGCTTTGAGTGAGTTTATTCGGTATTTAGATTTGGCCAATTTTGGTCATATTTTGCCAGAACATTCCAGGAACAATGACAAATTTAAGGGTGTTGGAAAATATTGATATTTGAAATATTTTTCCTGTGGCATTCATTTAATATGCAAAATGCCTGGCATATTTTTAGCTACACCTACTTAAGATACCAATATCTAAACAACCAATCAGAATATTGAAAAAGCTAGACACCCTTCTGTTGATTGAAACCTGGTGATTAAGACTGCAGCCATTTTGCTTGTACTACGGTCTCTAACACCCAATAAATTCAATAAAAGAACCCACGGTCATTTCACACTTTACTGGCTCCTGACACTTCCTTAAAGGAAAACTCGCTTAAAATATATATATATTGTAAACTGCAGTTATTAGCCTTTCTTCAGATATATTGTGTGTGAGGATTTTATTGAAACTAACGCATTTACAAATTTTCTCCCGAAGGACACCTGCAAAGGTGTTAAAGTGGTTTATAACAGCTGTATTTTTTGTGAGAGAGAACCATATCAACCCAAACACCTGATTGCCAAAAGCAGCTCTTTTTCTCTGTGACAGGACAGGGGTTACACTCAGAGGGGTTATTCATGACTAGTTTTGCAATAAAGTTAGGATTTACAGCACTGTAGCTCTACATGCAGTGGTGGATCCTTAAGCAAAAGGAAGGGATATCTTATGTGGTCTCCAAGAATTTGGTTCAGCCACAGTATTTTGTATTTTTCTCTTCTTTTGAGACACCTCTATCATACAGGGTAGCTGTACAATAACTAAAATAAAATGGAGTCCCAGGTTTCTTGTTACGGACATGTTTCCCATACAGAAATGTGACAAGCCACATTCTAATTCTGACTTACTTTTATTTTAGGTGGTGTAATGAGTCAGCCACCACCATACCAGCCTCATGTAAGTTTCTGTTTCTGTGAGGCTTTAATCAAATTTTAATTCAAGAATAATGACAGCTACTTTTATTATTTAGCTATATCTTTAACAGCTTTATGAGATTACTGAATCATTGCAATGCAGTGAGACTTGGACACAATAAACCCTTGAAGACTGAATTTGGAATTTTCTAGCACTCCTAGATTTAATCTTAACAAGACCTAGCAAGCCTATCTCCTTCCCAAAAGTTGCTATCATTCAAACTTGTTATTTAAGCTTGAAGTTAATCACTGTTTGACTTTTCTTCAGGAAAATCCCCCACCATACCCAGGACAGGCTCCACCCTCTGCACCCCCTCCTACTGATGGCAGTTTTAACTATTCATTTGGAGGTTAGTGGTCTCTGAGTCTGAATAGCTTCACTGCTAGGCGTTGATTCAAATGTAATTGGATACAGTATTCACATGTACATTTACACTTGCCCCTGAATAATTTCAACATTTTTCCAAACATGTTCATGTCTTAAGAAAGCCCCACAATAAATAAAAATCAGCATATTAAGAGGGAAATCAGAAGGCATTAAGTGGTGCAGATCTGGATTTGAGTGAAAATAGTGGCAGATCAATGGATTTGGCCATCACTTGGCATGTATCACTAGATTTTTAAAATATGCTCTTTCGTTTAGTTCCCTAGACTTTATTTTGTTTCTTTTGATGATCTAAATTTTTGCAGCAGCCTTGGTTTGTAGTCTCACAAATTGCCTTTGCTTCTGTAAAATAAGTTTTGGAACTTTTGCGGTGTGTGTTTCCAAGAGAATACAAACTGGAGGAAGGGATTGGAAGGTACCTTATTAGGCTATGTCAATATACCCCTGTACAACTCTGTACCAGCAGTAACAAGTGTGGTGTTAATTTTGGGTGCTTTCCATGAAGTCCCATCAAATCTACTACAGAGCCGTTTTCTCGTCACTTACTTTTGTGTGAATTTTTTTTATCTTCAGTCATTGTCTGATTGCATTAAGTGGTATGCTTTGTGTAAATAGAGCAAATAGTGACATAACCTGTGTTGTACATATTATGATACCTTTAACAGATGCAAAAGCAAGAGAGGTTTACAGCACTGGACAAAACGTATATGTACCAGCCCCTCAGGTATGTGAAGTGAGGATAACCTCTTGAATATCGGAAAATTCCTCATTTTTATTTCACACAAAAACAAAAAAGGAAGGCAGTCTATCGATAAATCTCTATCTGTTGGATAGCGTAGTACGTTTTGTTAACACTTATCCGCTGGGTGGCGAAGTATCCGTTAGATCGCTTATACCAAACTTTGAAAAACTGTGCGCAGGCTAGCAACTTAGGTATATATATTTTTCTTTTTTTATAGCCTCCACCTCCCTATGCGCCACCCCCTTATACTGACAAGAAGAATGATTAACTGAAGATAATGCGGTCATGGAACAGAATATGCGATGAAATCCAATAAAGTAATTTAAGTTTTGATGGTAAGAACCACAGGTCATGACCCAGCCACTCACGAGGATCGTGCAACTGTAATTTATGTTAATCATCATTCTAATTGATAAATGAATTCTTCTGAATTTGCTAAATACTGTAGAAATGAATGAGGTAGTCAGATTGTTGATCGATAAGGTATATACTTTAATAAGGTAAATAGTCCGAAGTACTTTAATCTAGTCTTTAGGGAAATTTAATCCTTATTATCATAAAAGTTAAATAAAAAGTGACAACACACAATGTAAAAGAGTGATGCGAAGGAGCGCTTTTGACTGTCGTAAAACCTGGATCAGAGTACGTGGTCACTTTAGCTAATCGGAATAAAGGAAAATGGCAAAAAAACTCAAATTTAATAACATGTTATATACAGTACTTCAAGCACAGGAAAGCGCGAGTGATTATGTCTTTGTTGGCTTTAGCTTGAATCACTTTGGCTGAGATGGTGGTGTGAGTTTTTGAGATTGTCACTCTACTCCTGTCTCCAAGTACAGTTTTTGCTACGTTAGGTAAAAGGAATACAGGTATCACTAGTTCGCAGCGTTCGGAGAGGTTTATCACTTTTGAGATCCCAGGAGACTGTGGTGCAGCACTTTAAATGACACAGTTATGAATGGTGTTTGAAAGAGAGAGTAGAGAACTTACTTGAATTTCTTGACTTGGGTAAATTCCACATTAGAAGATTAAATGTTGAGGTTTTAAACCTTGTGATTTCAAGCTTAATTCGCAGGTAGTGGTTGCCAAGTTTATGTAGATTGCTATTTGCCCGTGAAGCAATAATCACATTGAGTTGAAGAAACTGACGAAGAAGCTTCTGATAGGAAAAATACTTAATATTTTGGTTGAAGTCTTCGTAATTTTTTTTTTGTCAGTTTTCAATGGCTGTAAGATTTTTCCCGTCTGGCTTGTAAAATGAAACACTTCCTCCATTGTTTGTTTAGTTTATAGATGTCGGTTTCTGAATTAACCTGGCGCAATACCCTCATACACAATTTAATACCTTGAACAATATCAGAGTCGTGAGCTCACCGAAGCACAAACCAACCCAAACTTCCCCGTGGTTTCGACACGAGAAATGTGAACATTTCTTCTTTGCAAGAAAAAAGTGCTCCTGAAACCGGATGATTTTTGTCTCCACAATTAAAAGGTATGCATTGAAACTACTACTTGCCGCGTTTTTAATTCAGAAGAGAAACTAGTTCCCACTCAACGATTGTCCTGAACTCAAGGTGTAGTTCATATCGCTGGCAGCGCCCATGGGTAGTATGAAGCAAATCCTGTGTTCTGATTGGCCACGCATCGGCTTGGATCCTGCGCAAAGAAAAAAGTGCTTGGAGCGGACATGAGAGGACGTAGGTTTTAGACATGAAGTCCCAAAAGGCGGTAGAGGACAGTGAAGACAAAGAAAACAAGCTACTCTCGTGGGTTTACTGTGCCAAAAACATAGTTGGCTTTCTTTCCCGGCGTTCGAAATAAACGTTTCATTCTTGATTACTATTAACGCAAAATCTTTTTGCGTTGACTAATCGAAATGTGTATCAAAATCCTTTTTTGACCAAGCCCGTCGGGTCAAGATGGTTGAATATTAGCCTCATCCTTTTTAGGCATCTACATGCATCAGTGCGCATAAAAGAGACTCGCTTGCTCAATTACGCATATACCGTGCGCGGTCTCACCGGTTCAAACTGCGTGCTTTTTCAAAGGACAGAAGCAAGGTAAGTTGCAGTAGGCTGACATTCTGACTTTTTTCCCAGACTCTGGATCTGACTCAAATTATACATTTATTATGGATCAGACTGACACACGGAACGAACATTTGTTAGTACGGAGGCTACTAATAATGACAAGAGTAGCGATAACTCTCTTGAAGCTGACACCCCCGTGGGTAAGATGAGGGAATCATGTGTTCTGATTGGCTAATAAGTAAGTCCGTCTTGCGTGCTTTGAACCCGTAGAAGAAAAAAATGCGTGGAACGGCGCAGAATTTTCGCGATTTTTGGACAGTGTCGACGATGGAGTCGCAAATTGTGGCAGAAGATGTCCATCTTAATTAAGTGAAAAAGAAATGTATAAAATGTATAGAAGCGAGAGGGGGAGGTATTTCAAAAGCTTTGGAGTAAAGATAAACTCATTCACCGGCTTTAAACCTGTGGTTTTGAGAACACGGTTTTCAAAATACTTAAAAATATTTCGTCCGACAAACAGAGACTTCCTCAAGGGATTTAAGAAGAAAGAGAATATACGGAGCATGTGTATTGCTAAAAGCTTAAACACGACACCTTTGGCAGCGAATATCTACCAGTAGTTGACAGACCAAATATGTGTATCTGAAGTATTTTTGCAAGGTTCGCTAATGCTTCCGAAGGGACCACAGTTTTAGCGCTGGTTGTTCTATAGGCGCCCAAAACACTGCGACACAGTGGCCGGGCTCGAGTCAAGAGGGCTCTGGAAATGAGAGTGGTAATATTACACAGAAACTACGAGAACACAGGCCGCCCTAAGCTCCAGCTGTGAGATGACCATCTTGCGAAATAAGATCCATGCTGAAATTATAAGAGTTTGTATGGGATTATTTCCGACCACTCCAAGAAATCAAAAACAATAAGTAGAATTCTCAATAAAAATACCTTGCCTTACTTCCACAGTGCATCTATTGTTTTCTGATCGCTCTGTTGAAAAGAACCCAGTTTAGCGAGTTATCCATTTCGAGGTTCACTACATTCTCAAGAAAAGCCGTTTCTTATTTACGAAGTAAGTTATGGTATTTTTATGGAAAATCTGACATTTTTTTTTTTTTATAATTTCTTAGAGCAGTCTTAAATATTCCCATACAAACTCTTATAATTTCGCCGTGACTCCTATTACGCAAGATGATTATCTCACAGCTGGAGCTTGAGCTGCCTGTGGGCTTTTCTTATGTATGTAGTAAACCTAACAGTCGTAAATATTCCCATACAAACTCTTATAATTTTGCCATGACTCTTATTCCACAAGATGATTAAATTGGAGCTTGGGCGGACTGTGCTCAAGAAACAACCCATGAGCTACATGCGACTGATCTCCAAACACAAAATGTTTGGTGAGTATTGCTCTAATACATGATGTGGCAAATAGACTTCCCTGAGTGAGCTGTGGGGTGTTGGCTGTGTGTGAGAAAACTATGAGCATCCTACTTCTAAATTAGGTGCCGACTAAACAATTGTGATGTAATTGAATTGTTGTTGGTACTTTCTCAAGCTACAGATATGCTGCCTCAATGGGTATTTTTATCCTTGTAACACAGGGTTGTTTTTTTTTTTTGGCATCTACGGGTACTGCAACACCATCTAAAAGTCTGCCACCCCATCAGTACAGAACAGTATAATATTATCGATGTATAATTATTATCTGACTCAAACCCTGTACGCTTCGAGCTGTTTGAAGACGATTATCAACCTGGAGGCAACATTGCCGACTTGTGAAATATAGAACTAGACTGAATCATTTCGAGCAGCTAAATGCGAACCATTTTATTGACTGCAGACCCGAAAGAGGGCAACCGAGTGTAATGTGACATTATCAATGATGTAATAATTCACCAACTCAAACGCTGTAAGCTTTGAGCTGTTTGAAGGCAATCTGCTACTCAGAAGCAAAGTAGCACTCTATCAAAATGAAGATTAAAAAGGATTCTTTAGACAGTTGTAAAGATATCTTGAAAATGTTGAAATTTCGCCGAGCAGATTGTTTTCGTGACCACAGAAGATGCATTGCGAAAGTGGACAACTAATTGTTATATGACGGCTGTCATGGTCATGGTTCATTAACTCAGCCCATGCAAACTTCGAGGGCAATTGAGAACAGTATGATATTATCGATGCATAATTTTTTCTTCACGCTTCGAGCTGTTTGAAGACGGTCATCAACCCAGAGGTAACATCGTGTACTGGTAAAACAAAGAATTAAACTGAATCCTTTGACCTTTGTTAAGACATTTTGAAGAAGGTGGCATTTCGGTCAACTTAATGCAACCTATTTTATCGACATATTCGAAAGAGGATGATCAAGTATAACGCGACATTAGTTATAATATAATGAGTCGCTCAAACTCAAACGCTGTAAGCTTCAAGATGTTTGAAGACGATCAGCAAGTCGGAAGCAAAGTTTCATAATGATAACACGAACAGTAGTAGTAAGGATTCTTTAGACAGTTGTTAAGATCTTGAAAATGTTGACATTTCGCTGACCCTAGTACGTATTGTATCAGCGACTACATGCAGACACGAAAGGTACGAAAAGCATTGCGAAAGAGGACAACAGAGTGTTGTATTGTTTAGACGCTAAGAAGTAGCTGACATATTCAAGGATGATCGAAATGCGAATCAACAGAAAGTTGCCAGCTAAACATTGGCAACAACTTCAATTATATTACAACGAGTTCTCCATATAGTAGGTCTCATTTTCCTGAAAGTTTTTAAAAAGCTAACAACTCGGGAGAGGAATACGCTTTCATTTGCAGTAATCTAAAATTAAAAACTCAAGAAAGCAGGGTGGGTTCGATTTACTACGGATATCCTATTGCATGACAAAAGGTGTCGTAATAGGCTCCTGTAATACTATGTTGAAATAAACTGTTTTATTTGTTGTTGACAGAAATAAAACAGGCAAACCTTAATTTAGAAATGACCTGACTTATATTCTTCCATGTCATTGGTTTGTTGAGGAACTTAGTTGCTGAGGAGTAAGTTTCATATTGCAAGCCAAATCTGATTGGTTGACACAGTAACTTATATCCCAAAGAACTAATTAAAAATGTATTTGAGATCTGGTTGGTTCATTCAGGAACTAAGATACCTAAAATTTCAAGTACACATTAAAATGGTGAAGTACATATTTAAATGGGGATGTGTTTACTATATTTGTAATTTGTGTTTGTTTTTTTTTATTTGTGAATTGTGATTAAAGATGATAAGATCTTTCACATCCTTGTTCACAAAATTGTGTATTTAAACATGACCCTTGAACCATTTTGGTTTGCATGATGACTTTTGGGCTATTTTAGTGTTTTGAAAATGTACATATGGTTCTCAGCTGTGGTTAGGTTTTGACCAGGGTCTTACAGGAGATGGACTCCATATGGCTTGATAAAAGTTGTAAAACAGACCAGTAATGGTTCTTGAACAAGTAATATAAGACACTGTGTCATCTTTTGTAGTGTAACACTGATCAAGACTAGAAAAAGTAAAATATTAATTCAACATGGTTGCCTTAAATTTCTTGTGTATATGAAAGAGTTTTGAATATTATTCATGGTGTGAAAAGCTAAATATTTTTAGTGACTGAGTTTTACAAAGGGTTGTAAGGGACCCTCTTTCCATAACTTCAGTAATGTTGCTCTTAAATCTGCTAGAATTAAAACAGGATTGGTTGCAAGAAGTGGCTTTATGACTGTCAATCCAGTCAAATGTTATAACCAAATAACAAAATGTAGCAAAGTATGATTTTATTATCCATATTCATGTGTACTTTCTAAAACAGAGAAAAAGGTCTTATGATATGTTATTTTCTTAATATGATGATTCATGGTGTAAGCCAGGCATAAGAAGTGGCAGTAACTGCTCAGGAAAAACATATGATAATTATATAACTTTTTTCAAGCCTTAGCATAGAAAAAATTCAGCACACATCATGAATTTAGATTTTGTAAAATTATAAATGCCTTGTGGCATAAATAATCATGATATTCATTTGGTACAGAAAAAGGACATTAAACTTTTAGCAGGATACTCATGGGTATGAAATGGGTTATAATTTTTTTTTTTTAAATCTAATTAAACTAAAAGAAGTGATATCTTTGCCTGATGTTACACAAAGGGAAAGAACCTCGTGTAAGAATTCTGATTAATGAGTGATTTAGAATTGCACCCAAAAGGGGGTAATCATGATCACTATAGACAAACTAATAGTTGTCAGTACATACTTGTTAAATATTTAAATTATGAGACAGTATTGCTATGTTACGGTGGAATGTTTTACAATTGTACACGTTTTGTGTTAGTATTTTTTCTTACTAAGTATTTGTAAGGCTAGTAATAGCTTTAATTGAATGACTCTGAAAAAGATTAATGAAACTTTAGATTCATCCCAAATCAATTCAAATTATTTATCTTAGAATAAGCTTTGGATGGATATGCAGTAACATGTGTTTCCCTCTCACTAAAGGTTCACCAGTTTAAGTGTTCTAGGATATTTCATTCAATGTACAATTGCTACCATACATCACAGATTAAAAACGTTTCATTGGAATACATGTTATCTCATGGATTAACTTAAACAGGGATACACTATTGCTCACGCTCTATTTAACTCACTCACTCACTTACTCATTCACTCTCACTCGCCCACTGATTCACTCACTCACTCGCTCATTCACTCACTCACTCACTCACTCACTCACTCACTCACTCACTCGCTCATTCACTCACTCACTCGCTCATTCACTCACTCACTCACTCACCCTCTCACTCACTCACCCTCTCGCTCGCTCACTCGGCAGTTGAAGGCACGTCCCGTTCCATTTCCATGGTGTCTGATTTGCCATCAACTGTAAAGCCACTATTTTTGAAAGGAGTGACCACGTTTCTTTTCGTGCAACAAATTAATTCCCCAAGATGCTTTCTAAACTTACTACTCTGTAGACTGTAAACGGTTGGGTTAATGCTGGAGTTGAAAACAATCAAAGCAGACGCAATAGCATGGTGAAATGGCTGTAAAGTGATAGTGCCAGTGAAACCTAAGAAGTAAATTAACAGCTCGGGGACCCAACACAGCACATACACAACTGTAACGAATATGACCATCTTGGTGACGCGTTTTCTGTATCGCAGTAGTGCACGCTGGGTACTTTCAGTTGTAGCGTTGTTCACAAACCAAAGACGATAAACCACCTTGGAATATAAAGCGGTCATGATGCTGATAGGGATAACACCTGCCACCACTGACCACCCAACAGTATATAGCTTAGCATAGGTTGGTTTGGAAAAGCTGTGTGCACAACCTTTGAATTCTTTGATGTATGTGGTAGCCAAAAATCCTGGGATTGCCCAAGTGAGAGACGCTATCCAGGAAAGAAGAGCGAGTACGACAATTTTTGTCTTTGTGAGTTTAATTTTCTGACTGTGGGGATGCAAAACAGCCCAGTAACGTTCAATTGATATGGCCACCAGCGAAAACACTGAAGCGACAGCACCAACCCACCCTGGTGTACCACCTGTTACTATCTTACAGAGCACTGCTCCTAACGTCCCTTGGGGGTGGGTGAAGGTTGGTGTTACTATGAATTGGATACCGATAAAAAAGGCGACCACTATGTCGGCGCTTGCAAGGTTTACGAGGAGGTAGTTGGTGGGTGTCTTCATAGACCTGTTACGTAGTACTACTAAGATCACTAAAGTGTTGCCAACCAGATTGAATATCACCAAAACTGAAAACAGCACTGAAAACCCAATGTACAGCGACGACAACATGTTCTTGACTTTCTTGATTTTGCTGCCTACGAAAAATAGATGTCAACAGGTTAAATAAGTCAGCTATCTTGGTCTTTACAAAAAAAGCATCGTGATAGCCGTAAGTCGATGAAATCGAAAAAGGAATCATGTTAAGGAATAACAGTATATAGGTCATATAATCTTGAAGTTTAAGACCAAGGCGTGCGGAACGAACTTAATGGTCGTTGTTGTCAGTATTCACCCAATTGAATGTGATTTCTAAAGATACTTCTCAAAACAGGATGAGAATGTAAAACACCACGATCGTTTTTATCATACCCTCATTTAGTCGCAGCTTTAGACCAATAGGATCGCGCGTACTTCCTCATTTGTTTTATGATAGCTTATTGGTGACATTTCATAAATTGCAATTTCCTGTTCCTGAATACATTTAACCCTCTCAAGTTGTGCACAAGGTTATTTGGGTTAAGAGGCGGATAAATCAGTATGGATGAATCTTTGTTGTTGCATGCATCGTCAACTAATCCAATGAGACTGCAGAGTATAATTGTAAAAATGAGTAGTGCGACTGTCAAACGAATTCTACAACTAGTCATTCGATACATCTGTTTTTATCCCTGTGTTTACAGGATAGCTTTGCCTAAGGTGTTACTTTGTGATATTTTGTGCACTGTTTCTCCACTACGCTCAGATTTCATTCAGTCCTCACTCTTCGACGCTTTGGGCAATTCTCTAGACAGGTCAGCAAGAGGGAGAGTAAATGATATGGTCTTTTTTGGCCAATTAGTGAAGCAAAGACTCAAGGAGCTGGAAACAGCAATTCACAGAGAGGATACTGTAATGGAGTTTAATATACATCAGCTGAGCTTCAACTTGAAGAAGAAAGAAGAAGACTTATGACATGGTGTTATAGGCAGATATATCAATCAAAAGGACGAACTTCAATCACTCTAAGTTTCCCTTATCATGGCCACATAATGCCACACTGAGTGTTTCAAGAACTCGATTGACGAACTGCAGGTAACCTTATATCAAAATGACTTTTACTGCACAGTGATCGGGCGAAAAATTTCAGATACCTGAAAAATGTCCTTTAATTTGACTTACTTCAGCGAATCAAATTTAAAGAGCCAATGTGGGAAACCTTAAGGTAAGAGACATACTCACCTCTGTATCACACGCCTGGAGCAATTGGGTTCAGAGAAGCAACAAGCAAAAATGGACATCTGCGAGGAAAACAGCCAACTTTTATGAACTTTAAACATCACGGAAAATCAAATCTTTTTTCACAAAAGATTTGCCCACAAGAAACAAAACATGAAATACGCCGCAATTACGGCTCTGGTTGTACAACATTGCGAAAATGCCACAAATACAACAACAATTCTTATAGTAATAATCAGATTAAGGTTCTCTATGAAACAATTAAATAGATTTTTATTACAAAGAAGAAAGAAAAATATAATCTTTTCAGTATCTGCCGCTGTTGTTGAGGTTCTATTTTACTTCATTAGAGGGATATCGGCGAAAAAAAGAAATTTACTAGTGGAGTTATTGGATGAAAAAACAGGGTTACCGACAACTCTTGATTGTCACGGCTTAAAATTAAACATCATTATTGCAACTGATAGTGCTGGTTGAGTCGAAGTATATTTTCGCCCACATTACTTTCGATCGGACGAAACACCCATAGTTACATGAACATTCAATTTGTTTTTTCAGGTTAGCTACTAGTACAATAACTCTGATAATTACAGCTGTTTCCCTTTTCGCCATTCTAAGGTGTGATTTAGGTCAAATTGCCACCATTGAAGCGAAATGTTTGGCAAATGGTAAAATTATTGTTAATCAAAAATTATATCGTAGTTCAATTAAATAACCCGGCAGAGCTTTTTTGATAACTTGTCAGTAAGTTTTAATTCATTTTCCAATTTAAATTACTTTCTTTTTTTTTTTTTTTTTCAGTCTGACTGACATAGTTTATGATAAACCTGTATGGCTAGTTCTAGAGTGTGTCACAAGTCTAATAATCAATCAACAAAATCAGGAGCTTTTCCGGCATTAATACGAATAGACATCTCGTTCTGCAATGAATTTACTAAAGGGAAGTTTCTCTCGTCTTAGCAGGTTAAATAAATCAAATTATTTACTTCGCTTTCACAATGCAATACCAACAGATATAAAGGTCCATACACAAGATAATTGACTGAACCGTTTTAAATTGCCGCGTTTTCCGTAGTGCGCTAAGTTGAAAACAGATCGTAATCAACTGTGCACATTTTGTCGGCTGAAGTTTTCTTTTGAAAGGAAAGCGCACGTTTGCCGGGCAAATAAATAATAAGTTAACAAACGAAAGAGGATTTACACTTATAGTTATCCAAATATTCTACCACAAACCCGGCACAAAAAATTAATTTGGGTCTTATGATGTTGTCAAGGAAGCGTCAAAATACGACGTAAAACTATTTTTTCGAGGCGAGGTTAGACGTAAAGATTAAAAAAATCTTCGAGCTTGATATTTGAGCCATAAGCTGCAATTCACAAATGGTTCAATTTTAGGCTTCAGTGTTCTTTTAAGACTTATAAGGACTTAATTTGTGATGGAGAAAGGCAGCACAACGAACGTAATGCCAATAACTTGAATTGAAAGGGAAGGTCCAAATTGTTTCCACACACCATTTTGCATTATCCTGAAAATGCGAATCAGAGGCGTATCTTGGTATTTGGATAAAAACTGCCGCGGTAAAATGACTGCAATGAAATTGGGAGTGGGACAGCTATGATTTTCCTTTTGTCGCCCGTAAAGCAAAATGTAATTTAAGTTTATGGTAGTTGTCTTAACTTAGAGGAAGGCGGCAGGTAGGTTGGGCTGTCCTTATGTTGCTTAGTACTGAATAGCTATTTTAACGAAAATTCTAGATACTCACACAAAGCTTGGTTGAACATCCGTTGTACACCTCGAGATGTTACCACAGTACCGTCGCGCCAAACGTCCATGGAACACTCAAGTGGACTATGTATGTGCTGCTTTATTTATACTTCGAAAAGAAAAGACGGAAACGTCGAAATCCAGCTCGTTCAGTAGACATTATCGTCATTACATCCTTGATTTGTTAAGATCCAATCGACCAAACCGGCGTGTGATCTCTTCAGGTGTGCCAATGATTTGTTTGGTAAACAACTCAGTCGCAATATCTTTTTTTCTTGTGATTGGCTGACGCAGGGGTTTAGCAATTAATAGAACTATCCGCCTAGCACAATGATGTACCCAGGAAGGAAGCTGTCTTTCAGTACTTTCGTTTCAAAACATGTCACGACTGGGGAAACTTTTACTAACAGAATTTACTATTACCTACTGTTTAAACACATATTTTAAAGAGAAGTAATGAGAATTCTTACTCGAACCTAAAGGAAATTTGAGTTTTGAATTAACATGTCCAAAAATATTTTCATATCGTAAACTATGTCAGCATTGTCAGAGACACGAAGAACAAAGCACAAATAGTTAGTTTTGGGTGAACAGTTCGCGCAAATTTATGTGTAATTTGACATGATCAGGTAGAATTAACTGCTAATTGGGCTGATAGGAACTGAACTCTGTACAAGGCTCCTCTCGGATAGTCTTGTATGTCGCCTTATCACACACACAGCTTGTTGATTTCACCTAAGTTTGTGCATTCAAATGCTTATTCCCGATATGGGGAGAACAGAGGTCATCAGGAACAGAGCCCAACAGAAACAGAGTCTATTTTTCTTACTATCTTGCCTCTTTTTGTTTCCTTTTTCTCCCTTATAGGACATACGTCATGGTGAAATATGACGAGAATATTGG